TGCACAAATTATATAACAATGCAACACCACATATTTTCTCCACATTCTCAAATAGCCATAAAGACTTGACATATATTAAACAGAAGGGTTTACAGCACATATATTACCAAATCAATCCATGGTTCTAGTACAGTAGGGTTGACAGCACAAATATTACCAAAATCAACACATCAAGCATTCCTACTACATCAAGTTTGCTTCACTGCGTTCCTATTACATCCATCATTTCAATTACATCATTTCATAAGCAAAACAAACACTCCCATCAGAACTAATATGCCTTGCCCTATGTTGATCAACACAAGAAGTTGCATCCACTTAGTTAGTTTATCCATCTTCCCTTCATCAACCCTGTCAGCTTCACCTGCTGCTGCTATTGCAACTGGGGTTGCAACTTCTTCATTGAAATCTAATTCCATTCCTTCTACCATTCTTTGGTAACTATCATACCACTTGAAAAACGTGCAAGCATCTGGAACCTATGAAAACAACAATACCAAATAAAATTAACTATGCATTCTGAAATTCCAACCATCTCATCTGAAATCAAATTAAGAGAATTCACTTACATATTGTTCATTCTTCTCGCATTTGAAAAACACCCGACCACCTTGCCTCCAGGATTTGCACTCCACTACTGCATTCCCACATCTTGGGCACTTCACAAGAGAAAGTCCACTGGGACCAAGAAGAAAACGAGAGAGTTGGCGCCCAGGACTACGAAAGGAACTACCTTGGGACATGTCCTCGCTACCTTAAGCAATTCTTCTCTCTGATGCCCGCGACGAGCTTCGGGGCCTGGGGATGGACGGCGGCTTTGTGCGTCAACTCCTCCTCGACCTGCCAGCTAGCCTCGACTAGCCGGACCAAAGATGCACGGCACGGCGGCGGCGCTCTGCAACGGCAAGGAGAGAGAGAGAGAGGCGACCGAGCGCACACGGCGAACACACGGGCTGGCTCAACCCCCTCTTGCTTTCAAGACCCGACCGCAGGGGCAATTCCGTCAGGTCAACTCGCATAGAAGGGAAAATCATTTCGAAAATAAGCAAAAGGAGGAAAATGGCAAAGTGGCAAGTGCGGCGCGCTTCATCCTGGCATTTTAGCGAATCCTGTTTTCGGGATGGCATTCTGGCGAAGCCCAGTTTTGAACGTGGCTTAATGTCCATTTTCTCTTTGAAAACAAGGCTTCGTTCGTTCCTGGGCGATGCAGGGGATTGAGAGAGAAAAGTATCTCGTTTTCCGCGCGCACGCTTCTCAAACTACTAAACGGTGTGTTTTTTTAAAAAAAAATTCTATAGGAAAGTTGTTTAAAAAAATCATATTAATCCATTTTTAAAGTTTAAAATAGTTAATACTTAATTAATCATGTGCTAATGGCTCACCTCATTTTGCGTATCTTCCCAATCCCCTTCTCCTCAAACACACCCAAAGTTGCCAATGTGACAATTCTGAAAATAGTTCGACCGCACATTCATGGTTAGATCTGAATATCTGATATCTTTCTCAAGAAACAATGCCTGGAACTGGAACCTGAACATATAAAAATTTACTAGTAAGGGTGAGATATATATATATATATATATATATATATATATATATATATATATATATATATATATACACACACACACAGAGTGAGGGGGGTGTTTAGATGTCACATCGGATGTTTGGACCCTAATTTAGAGTATTAAATATAGACTAATAAAAAAACTAATTTCATAAATGAGAGCTAATCCGCGAGACGATTTTTTTAAGACTAATTAATCCATAATTATCAAAAGTTTACTGTAGCATCACATTGTCAAAATCATGGCGTAATTAGACTCAAAAGATTCGTCTCGCGAATTAGTTCAAGCTTATGGAATGGATTTTGTAATTAGTATATGTTTAATATTCCAAATTAATGTCTAAATATCCGATATGACAGGGACTTGAAATAAGTCCCTGAAAACCAAACAGCCCCAAGAAGGAATTCGAAGACAGGAGACACTGAAGTCTGAACCTACCTGCATGCCATACACAGCTATCTATCAGATCGATTTGGTAGCTTGCCTACCGGCCACCTCGACGAACGCTGTTGATCTTACGGGGTAATTTCGATACTATATGGGCAAATATATGTTACAAGTACTATCAATCGATCTGGTAGGTTAATATGACTTTGTTAGTTTGTTAGGCTTGTGGATGAAAGGATAATGGATGCAAGCAACCAAGTACTAAATCTTCTCAATAAAAGAAAAGAATTGCTACATAATATTGCCCCATTCTAAGCAGAAGGATGCATGGAAGACATCAGAATCTTATGCCGTAAAAATTCAGAAAATTTTTAGATCAAGCCATCAAATGCCTAGTTTATTTTTAAGACTATAAACATACCTGCTGCATACACACCGGCGATTGCACATTCTTCTTTTTCTTTTCTTTTTTTTTTTTGAACCGAAGCCAGGGTTAGCTGGTTTATATTAAGCAGGGTTTTACAGTTTGAAATAGATAAAACCAAAAAGAACTAAAAAAAGAACGAAAGTATCAAGAAAAAACGAGTAGTCCCGCAGATGTTGATCTATCGGGATATTCTCACGATATTGGTGCCGCACATAATCTACACATTTATCTCATCTGTTATTTTGGTCATTAGTTGAGGCAATTGAGTCTTCTGATTACGGAACGCTTTTTGTTTCGTTGGCACCAGATTCCCCAAGCCACCATCATATAAACTAATTTCATTGCCTCAGTTTTATGTTCCCCCCTTGGATGTCCCATTGATCCACCAGTCAAGGAGTGGCTCATCACCATCATGTTATTTAGTACCTCACATCCTAGCCATCATGAGATCTCCTTCCATACTTGCGTACGAAGGTGCAATCCTTGAAAAAAAAAACTCTTGTCCAGTTACAAGGTTTAATTACATAGTAAATTTGACCTAAAAAAAAAGTTGTCTGGTCATTGATGGATTTGCAGCCGATCTGCTATCCAGATTTTGTTTGTAAGAGAAGCCATGCAAAGTTTTTGTATTTTGATGGTGTCCATACTTTCCATATCAGCTTTGCAGTTGCTGAAACAATCCTCCCATTGAATTGTGCCATGTATGCCGATTTTGCTCTCTAAATATCGTTATTCGTCCATCGCCATTTTATGGTGTCTTCAACTCCTTCAACTAAGATGAAGTTGCTTCTTCATATATGTAGGAACATGCAGGGTTCACCTTACCGTTTTGGGGGGGGGGGGGGTTACCGACCCCCCGCGGTATGGTGGTTACCGCGGTAACCGTGCGGTTACCACGAAAAACCGCACAAATTTCGTTTCCAAATTTTTGAATTCAAAATCCACGGTATGGACACGGTAACCGCACGGTTTGGTACGGTAACCGCGGTAAGAGGACGGTAACCGCGATATGTTGGAACTGAAATAAGAAAAATGAAAAAAATAATAGAAAAAAACTAAAATGTGAGTATTTTAGTTAATTAAGATGTGGTTATACAACAGAAAAATTCGGCATGACCTACTCTATATTGTGGAGTTCAAATCAATACAATAATTCATAACATTATAACAACAATAACAATCATCAATCTCACATTTCAAAGCATAACGATGTCCACATGTAGGTCCAGAATAACAATACAGTCCAGAATAACAATATAGTCCACAATAACAATAGAGTCCACAGTATAATGTCCACGATTACAATTCTAGTTCGAATGAAAGGAAATAAACAAGGACATGCATAGCTACGCATTCCACTGATTATATGCCATATTGTACTCCTCTGTGGACATGAGCATCAAGCCATGTGAATGTAGCAACCCCGCCTTGTATTCCTCCCAACTTTGACCTGTCCATGATGATGTTGTTTGCCACTGAGCGTACAATTGAGCATACCACTAAGGCTCTTGCCATTCATACACCCATGTAGTAGCAGGATAATCAGAAGCTTGGGGACGGTTGTACACATACGTTGGATAGCCACTTTCAAAGCTAGAGGCACTGAATGAGCTAGAGCTATCCTGTTGTATGTCACTGAATTGTTGCTGTTGTCGGACTCCCGGTGCAATGGTAGTTCGTTGAGAGCTTGGAGCACCATGATCCTGGTCCTGAGTAGCATGAGTGAAGTCGCCCTCACCTGCAAATCAAAAAATTGAAAGAAAATTATCCAGTACTGAATTGGAAGATGAAGGTTGAAATTGCAACTGAATTATATCACACCAGTGAATTGAACGGGGCTGTGGTGATCTGATTGTTGGGTGTGACCCCTAGGAGGCATATTAGTAGTGCCTTGGCCTCCTTGACCATCGTCGTCGCCGTCATCTGTTTCAGTTCTTGAGCTACTATCATTGGACTCTTGGTACTCTGGGCTTCCTTGGGTCTCTTCATCGCTATCAACACTAGTCGATCGTGGACCCTTGCCCTTTACCTTTTTAGATGGACGTGCTTTTGGCGGCTTTCGAGTCTTCCTTTTCCCAATATGAGTGTCACCTACATTCGTATCAGCCCACTCAGCAATACTAGAAGCTCCCGTGGTCCTTCGCAGGTCATCCAAGTTGACTAGGTCAGACACAAGTTGACTAGGCAGGGGAGCGTCACTCTCAGCTGAATCTTCATCTAGTTCGGGGCAAGCATTAGAGCGAGCATTGTCCATCCAGGCACTGATATGATTGTTAGTTTCATAGAATGAGAGGTCCGCTAATCTTTGAAGGGGATCATCGTCCTCCACCCTAATTTGGGCATTTGCTTGCTGAATTCGAAGGCGAAGGTTGTAGTTCACGTACACTAGCTTGTTGAGCTTCTTGTGGGTAAGTCTATTACGGACCTTCGTATGTACGAATGCGAATGTGCTCCAATTCCTTTCACATCCACTGGAGGAGCAACATTGACCAACCAAACGCAACGCAAGCTTCTTCAAATTCGGCGTGTCTGAGGCGAACATAGACCACCATTGTGCTGCAAAAGCCAAGTAACATGTCATTTCATAATTCTGAATACATCAAGATCAATTAGATATATCATAGTTCCATGATTAGAAACATACCAGGTGAAGTTTTCCCATCTATGGCCATCCTTCTTGCTAGTACCCTCCCAAATTCACCCGTCTTACGTCGGTACATCTCAACCTCCAGCAAAGCGGCGGCAGCCGTATCGATATCCATCATCCACTCGAATGCCTGTCGGAGGTCTTGGAAGACAGTAGCACTTGGAGAATACGCGTAGTGCGTCCTAGGGTTCAATGCGGCAGCTACAAAACATGGCACAGGTTAAGTAAGAGTTACATAATATGCCATGTGGATTATGTTATGACCAATATTTACCGGCATTGATGAGATTCTCATTGGTTAGGTCGTGCATCCTTCTGTTCACGATCTCCATGTATGCTTCAAACTTGTCCCTTTGATTCGCAAAAAGACTGTCGTACTCCATTTTGAGCAACTGATATCTCAAAAGTACCTCACTCAAATTGGGGTTCTTGTCCTCGTCAGCAAACCGAAGGAATGAGTACATAGGTTGGACAGAATTCACTACTGCCTCTAAGTTCTCCCACCAAGACAGACTAGATAGACATGCATGTGCATATCTACCTTCCAAAGTCCCACTAAATTTGCTTTGCATGAAGACAGAGGAAGCCATCCATTGCATGAAAAGATCTCGCTTCCTAAGGAAACTCTGGAGAAACATGTAGTTTGTTCCGAACCTTGTAGCATTCCACTTAACCAGTTCACCACCTATAGCTAAGACCATCATAGCATGCAACTTGTTATGATTGTATAGCCATCTGCAAATTTTCCTAGCACTCTCAATCACCATTTCGTGGTCTGGCATTTTCCCAACCTCCTTAAGCATCAAGTTAACTGTGTGTGCCACACAAGGTTGCCACACAATTGTCTTGTATTCTTGCCGTAGTAGTCTGCACGCCTTCTTGTAGTTAGAGCCATTGTCAGTGATAATTTGAACAACATGCTCCGAGCCTATTTCGCGTACCACCTTCCTTATCTCCTGCATTGGTAGATAACATAATAAAAATTAGTCCATGCCCCTAACACTGACGATAACAGGTGATGAAGTAATTTGTTGCATGAACCATACATACCTTCAGCACAAAGTTAGCATCCTGGCTTTGCCCGGTTGCATCAATGGACTTGTGGAAAAACATTATTCCATTGCAGTATATCAGAAAATTGATGACCGACATACTCGTCGGACCTGTCCAAGAATCACACATTATAGTAACACCGTACTCATCCCAATCCTTCTTGAACCTATCAAATTGCTTCTTCGCATCCTTCTCTGTAGAATCAAGATATTTTCCATCTATCTCGTTACCAGTTGGAGAAGGTACACTTTCACCTACAATTGACGTATGAAATAAGTAGTGCGCAATGAGTTAGAAAAAAAGAAGTTCCTTAATAGATGCATACGTACCCCACTTTTGTGTCTCCCGAACGGCGCTCACAAAGTATGGATTATCGGCGTTTCTACCAGGAATGCCGGCGGTAAAGAAGAACCTTGCCCATGACTCACCAATGGCTTGCCTAGCTTGCTTCCCTTTCTTTGTGAAGAATCCTGTGTCAATGCGTGGCTGCACAGGGGCCTTGGCAGATGCTAGGTTGTAATCTCTCACAGCAGGTGACTCCCTATGAGACGTAGCCCTTCGTAGCATATTGGTAATTGGGTTACTTCTACCTTTCCGTGCCTCCGGCTGAGCGGATCCACTCCCACCGCCATGCTCATAAGTGCCACCACGCTCCTCAACATCCCTCCTAAAGTTTTCGTCTTGTCGTGAGGCTGCAATGGCTGCTTCCATTTGTTCCTCCTCGTCGGCATCACCTGTTAGGTCATAATAGTTGACCCTTGCTGCTTCAACCCTTCTTCCGCTATCACTCTTACGCTGGTCACCTGCATCTTTTATCCTGTCCAACTCACGGCAGAAGAACTCACGGACATCCGGAGGCACTGAATTGCAATATGTAACCCCCTTCCCTCTTGCAGCCAAGTGTTGCTTTAGTCTTGTTGCCCCACCACCGCCCCTCTTTGTATGGCAATACTTACAGCGCCATCCAGGTGGGATATTCTCCCCGTGCTCCCACACAGGGTCCCTACTATCTGACATCTCCACCCTGTATCAAATGCATGAGAAATTATCACTGCTAATTATAAACATACCTCCCATTATGCAATAATACGACGTAATTATATGTACACTGGTAAGCATGCATCCAAATTCTTCCATACTATGACGTATTTAATTTAACCTATATGTACATAGACCAAAGCAATCAAATATACTTCACATGCATGGTTTTAGCCAAGCACGGGCAACCAAATGCCGAAATAAACTCATATTCCCAATGTATTTCACATGCATATTGGTAAAAATATGTTCTATTGACCTAAATCCCTAAATATGTCCATGCATATCACAGTAAAAAATACCATACCACGGTTCAAGCCACGGTAACCACGGTAGGGTGGACGGTTACCACGGTTTTCACACGATTACCGCGCATACGTATATCGTCTCATAGATTACGAAGCCGACGATAACCGTACAAAACCGCACGGTTACCGCTCCTAACCGCGCGAAAACCTTCAAAACGGAGGGATTACCTCTTGCCCGTCGACCCAGGCGGTTACCGTCGCGTACCGCGCGGTTACCGCCGCTTACCGCGCGGGAACCGGCCTCGCCGGCGCAGAGGCGGCGGATCTGGCGCGGAGGCGGCGGATCTGGCGCGGGCGCACGCCGTCGCCCCTTCGGTCCTGAGCGCAGCTACGCGAGAGAGGGGAAAAACGGTGGGATTCGCCAGAGAAACGAAGCAGAGGCTTCCAAAGATATTTTCCTCCCATTGTGGGCCTTATTGGGCCTCGTGAAGAGTGCATACTTGGCCCATTCCATTTAATCTTTTTTCTTTTTTATAATTCACAATAGGTTTTGCGCTCAAATTTGAATTTACCTGCATCTTTTTGATGAAATTTTTTCACCATAACAACATACAAAACAAGCTTTACATCCATGATTTTTTTTTATTTTTTTCGATTATTTTTCAAATTTTTGAATTTGAGCAAAATTTGCCCAAACCCTACCGCCGGTTTTCGTTACCGACCCTCCACGGTAAGCCCGGTAACCGCGGTTACCGCGCGGTTACCGGCGAGAAAGTGAACCCTGGGAACATGTCGAAGGGTGCACCTTCTAACCCACATTTAAAAAGATGTATACCAAAGGCAGCTCACTAGCCTGACTAAAACGGCAAGAATCTGACACTACGAACATCAAACTTTTTACAGCATATAGTATTTTTCAGCTTTTCAGGTCCTCACTATACAAACGATGAAGTCGACATGTTCTAATCTGTCAATGCTATCATGATTTGATTAATTCCATGACTGTTGCATGGCATCTAATCAATTAGGGGAGTTAATGAGGTCTGCTTTAAGATTTATGGTCCTGTAGAGAGGGAGATGAGGTCTTTGCAATATAATTTCGTTCCAAACAACGTAACCAAACTCCTGGCTAAAACAACTCTATTTGCACAGTAACCCCACTGCCACACATCACAGATTTACATATCTCGACGGATGGATACATATGCCTCGGCGATCTTAGCCCACAGAAACCGGGAAGTATAGATCTCAGAGCCCCGGGAAAATCTGGGCCATCCACGTGTCCTCCCGTCGACCACGAGCCGAAAACGACGCTCTCACGCTGGTGTCATGTAGCTTTTTTTTTTCCCATTTGGAGAAACGGTATCTCAAAAAGCATCTCCCGACGTCGATTCCCAGCATCTCCTTGTTTGATCCCCAATGATGCCACTCCTGTAGGATCTCTGCCTGCCCTGTTACGGTTGACAGCTAATTACCTTGATTCGTTTGTGTGTTTTACAAGTACAAACCTGAAACCTCATGTTTTGTGTAGCTAATTAAGTAAGGGATAGCTTTAATAGCTCGATTTTGAGCTATATGATGCTTTGCTATATGTTCAAGAAAACCAGTGGCAAACACTTCATTAATGCCATGCTAAAAGACACTAAACATAAGCTATTACTAGTTTACTATTATTACCTCATTCCAAAATATAACAAGTTTTAATTATATATCTGAATAAGTGTAGTTGTTTGATAGCCATCTATAACACGGTCTTTACCTACTTTTTTTGGTTTTATCACTAACATGTCTACAAAACACTTAAATGGCCGTTGCTTAAAACAGAGTCATCATCCTGTGTTCAATAATCAACTTTATAGGTCTAATTTTGAACTAAAAACTTGTTTATAATCCCAAGTACCTGCTTACAAAAACTAATAAATCGCCGTGCAACTTTTTTAAAAAAATATAGTTAAAACAAAATGAATGGCTCAATGCGTGCACTTCCATTCGGAGACCTATATATAAACACACGCACACACTTATCAGTTCTCACCCAAGCCTACCCTCCTCAAAGACCAAATCCTCCTCTCGAACAACCGCCGGAGCCAACCACCGCCGCCGCGCCACCGCGCGCCGGAGAATATGGAGCTCCTCGACATGGTGCCCGCGGACGCCATCGCGCTCCGCCTCTACTCCCTCCCGGCGGCGGCGGCGGCCGTCGGCTCGCTCTGGGCGTGGCTCGTCGCCGCCCTCGCCGCCGCCGTCGGCCTGTGGCGCATCCGCGCCGCCGCCGGTGTCCGTAGCGCCCTCGTGGACGACGACGACTACAAGCAGCGCAAGGCGAAGCAGCCGCGCGGTGCTCTGCGGCCTGCCGGCGTCGGCGAGGCACGGCCGGCTCGCGCCGAGGCGGCGGAGTCGGAGGCGACGACGCCGACCTCCCCGAGCGAGCCGAGCACGCCTTCCAAGGTCCGGTTCACGGCGTACTACGGCGGCGAGGGGGACGGCGCCGACGAGGGAGTCGTGGACAGCGTCAGGAGATGCGTGGACAACGACGGCGACGGCGAGGGGGAGACGCCGACGGCGCCGGTGAGGCGGACGGCGTCGGGGAGGAGGAGGTGGTCGACGACGACGACGACGACGACGGCGCCATTCATGGCGACGCCGTGGGAGGAGAGGGAGATGGCCGTGAGGAGGAGGGGAGACCTGGGGTGGTACCGCCACCTCGACATGGCGGCGCTCGACGGAAGCGTCGTCCGGCTGTGGGACGGCGAGGTCACGGCGGCGTCGCCGGGGCGGCGCGGCCGGAGGGCATTATCGGAATTGCACCTCTCATTGTAGAGACATGGCTCAGTGTGTATATTGTGGTGTAGGACTATTGGATGGTTATTACCATGGTTGGTGTATATGACAATTTTGCCCCTGGGCTTGTCATACCCTAGCAGTATGGCTGAGGGGTAATGGCCCCTCGTATGAGGACATAAATGGAAATTTGGCAAATGCCACTGGTTATCCTTTGCTTCTGAATTCCAATTCCAAATTTTTACACTCTGCCACTTAATCCTCATTCCTTTTCTTTCTCTGAATGTTTATCTGATAACTGAAGCTATCCTTCTTAATGCATTCATGGTTTAGCTTCTTTTCTTAATTATTTATCACCAATTAGTTATTCCCTATTGATGATCATTTTTAATGAAGTCTGCTGATAGAGAATGGTTAGACTATGCATGTAGATGAACTTGCCAAATGATATAATCTGCTTATAGATTCAGATAAGACTGTACTCTACTCTAAGAGGAAAAAAATTATTTGGATCAATTAACATAAGCATCATGGTTGTTTGGTAAGGACACCAGTTGACACGGCATGATTTGCAGATAATATTATACAATTATGGTGATGTGTGGACCAAGCCGGCTTATTAGTTCCGCAATTAAAGTTGCTAAACAAATTGGCTGCCTTTTCCCAACTGATCAACTCTGAATGAATTTAGTGAACCACCTTGGAAGATGGTAGTGGCAGGCAATGCTCCATGCTTTTCTCTGATCATCTCTAGAATAATAAAACATTTTAAAGAGCGAAATAACAATGTAGCACCAGACAGAAGTACAGTCCAAGACACGCATATTATTGTGTTCGAGAGAAATGTGGCTATGATTTTTTGAGGTTAATTGTCCTTATTTGGTGTTAAGCTATGTAAGCACTTCTTTTCTACAAGAAAAAGACAAGTAGATAAAAATCAGTGATAATTGCATTAGTACTAGAAACACTAACTTTATGCCTATATTCCAAATTAGATATGAAATCCGACAGGTATTAATTCCATTTTGCTGATATCCCGGCACAATCTATAGCAGGTATCACCTTGATTTTGCCATACCCTCTCAAGGCTCAAGCCTCAATTACTCATAATTTTGGTGGTGGAGGACAAAACAACAACATGGGTTGCTTTCCATTGGATATAAAAGTTTCGATAATAAAGTAAATGATTTAGTAATAGTGGTCTGAACTATTCTAGCATGGATTCATAATTAACTGATAACGACGGGCTTGGAACCTGGGCTATAATTTAAATTGATGTTCTCCGATTGATAGTGATATATGTTACAACGAGTAATACCACGAGAATATGCTTCACATATACTTGGAAGTTTAACTCAACAAAATGATTGTTCAGACTCGGGTTTAGGTTTATTCTAGTGAAGATGCAAAGCATCTTTCAGATTCAGTGTACATTGCAGGAGGCAAATTGAACTTGGATTCACTGAACAAATGTGGCATATCTACCACTTCTATTGACTGTCCAAGAAAACTTTGATCCTGAAAATTGTTCGGACTTGGAAGTTGGGACCCAAAACCTTTTTAAGTTGCAAAGCTAAAGTTAGCAACAATGATAGATATACATCGGTCAGAATACTGCCAGGATAATCCGCAAAAGTTAGCAACATTAATGATAAATATACTATTAGAATTTGGAGCAGTTGAACGTCAGGTGAGGATTATTTTTTTCTGAAAGAAGTCATCAGACGAGGATAATAACTTTTCTCAAGTATATGGGTGCAAACAAACTAAAGCCATATACAACATCATACTGCCATTTCTTCAGGCAACAAACTAAAGCTATGCATTGGCTTCAGAAGAAGAAGAAGATCAAAGGAGAGGCAGAGTTCAGTTGCCGAGTTGCTTTCGTCTCTCGTATCATATCATTCCAGTGGACAAATCGATCGGCAAACTGCCGGTATGGCGCCCGGACGACGTCGGTGTCTCGTAGCAGATGTGTGGTCACCGGCTCAAAAAAAAAAAAAAATTGTGTGTAGTGCACTGTTCTTCAAAAATCTGAATAGCAACAAGCCAAACACGCCTCGTAGTTTTTGAGAGACAAACTTCCATTATTCGCCGCATCGTTGCCTACTCCAGATAGCAACTTCTAATGGGCATGTTTGGTCAGGGGAAATTTGGAGAGAATTATATTCCAACATTTTACTATTTACTGTGGATTTCCTATGTTGGAAAGAAATATCGGAGGAGATTTTTTTCAAAAATTTCCCAAATAGGAGAAATTTGCATTCATTGGTATAGATGGCCAAAAGGCCCGCCCGGCACGGCCCGGCCCAGGCACGGCCAAGCACGGCCCACCAGCCATCGGGCCAGCACGGCCCGATCGTCACTTCGTGCCGGGCCGTGCCAGCCCATGGGCTGCGCCTCCCGCCCAGGCACGGCCCACCAGCCGTCGGGCCGTGCCGGGCCGGCCTGAAGGCGCGGGTGGCCTATTGTGTCTTTTTCTAAATAAGTCTATTTTTCCGTCCCTCCTTTTTGGGCTGACATATATATATATATATATATATATATATATATATATATATATATATATATAGTGAAAATAAGTCTATTTTTCATCCCTCCTCTTTGGGCTGACATATATATAGCTAAATAAGTCTATTTTACATCCCTATTCTTTCGACCGTGGCATACAATATATCTATTTTTACTCCCCAATGTTTATGTCTAGGGCCTGGCTTGCGGCCCATCGTGCCGTGCCGACCCGGCCCAACGTGCCGGTGGAGAGGCCTAGGCACGGCCCGGTGGTCGGGACGGGCAGGCACGGGCCCGACCCCTGACGGGCCGTGCCGTGCTTGGGCCAGGCCAAAACGCCGTGCCGTGGGCCGGGCCATCGGGCCTCGGGCCTTTTGGCCATCTATATTCATTGGCGACTCGTGTTGTTTTTATTAAAACAAAGATGAGCTTATGTCCTTAAAAGTCTTCTCTTTTCTTTTACTATCTAAAAATTGCCACAAGTTTTTGAGCGAAAAACTTTCAAATGTAATAATATTGTTCTACCATAACTATACTACAACTAAAATATAGCTTGTATATAAGTATTTTTTAAAAATATGCAACTTCTTATGCATAAATCATAGAAGTTATAATGTACAATTATGACTACTACGTTGTAACTCATTGTAACTACGTAATATAGTTATTGTAACTCACAATAACTAAAATGTGTCTAGTGTAGCACAAATCTTGGCGCATCATCGTACGGTCGAAAATTCGAAAACCAGGGAAGGAAAAAAATTGTAATTTTTCTAGCAAATCCGTCTTTTTTTTTCTTTTCCGTATCAGGAAGCCCAACCCAGTTTGGGCTTAGACGTCATATCTCCGGACGAGGCCGCGAAAGCGAACAGGCGTGCAGCCCAAGAGAGCTCGGAACATGTAGACCCAATGAACCGGAGGTATTACGATGAACGTACATCCCACAATGTCCTGTACAAGAGTATGAATCTTCGGCCACGAAATCTCCCCAACGTACCAGAGGACATGGAGAGAGGGGGAGGTTAGAGGAAGAAGAAATAGCCCTGACATGTAGGGTTCACATGGGTCTCACTCGCCATGTCGGCTGAAACCGAACACTATACTGCTTAGGACCTCAGGTACATCGGTTTTACAAGTTGAAGGACACGTTATATCTGGTATTGCTGTTCGGGAACGTAATTTAAACTCGGTGTCAAGATAAGGGACCAAAGTGAACTTATTCCACGTGCGGCCCATTGAGCCCAGGAACGGTATTGCTGGGCACGTGTGGCCCAAGAACCTTTTTCCGTTGTGGGCCCACTGGAACACTTCGCGTGGCTGGCCCACATTGTGCAACTTCCTCCATCCCTGCGACGCACATGGGCCGGGCCGAAATCACATAGGCCCACATCGCAGGGAAGAAGATTCACACAGGCTTTCACATCACTGGTAATGGTTGCTGCCGAATTTTATTGCCAACTGGAGCTTATTAGCTGCTGAATACTAGCTGATAGAGAGGATGTTTTTTTGAACGGTGCATGGTACTGTAAACTATAATTGTAAACTAAACTATACTGTGTAGTGTATATATCTGTATGATGATGTCTATAGCGAAAATTAGCAACGCTTTTTTACCCTGCATTTTCCCCTGCTTGTTAATTATATATAAATCGCTATTACCTACCCTGTATACTGTGTGCTCCTTTATATATACTATATGTACAGTTCCAGATCAGGAAGAGAGGTCAGCTTTGCTTTGCTTCTGTGCAAAAAATTTTCTTCTTCGTCTTCGTCTTCTTTAGTTACCGTACCTAATGCTATGGAGATCAGGAGAAGCTATATCCTTTTTCTTTTTACTTCTATGAGAAATTCAGAAGTACTCCTTGTGGAAATGGAAGCGAGTCCCCGTCCTGTGGCTCATCTCGTGGGACAGGGTCTTCAGCTCCTTGGCTAGCGTCGGCGCGCCGCAGTAGAAAACTCCTGCGTTTTTCGTCAGAAAACCAAACCATTCGTGTCAGAGAATTTTCGAGGAACACATGCATATTGATCATGCCAGCAATTGATGCAATTGGATAGGTTTACTGGGAGAGAGATTTACCAACTGTTGAATTGGGGTGCTTGGAGGCAATCCTGGTGAAGACTTCTTTCCAGTTTGGTCTTGCAAAATGTGTCCTCACCTGTTGAGTACAGAGTGGATGTTCAGTTAACAGAATCTACTTGTAAGAGGAGACTCTGTATCTACTTCTCCTTTAGATCTTTACCCTTGTGCCTGAGACGATGTCAACACCATGCTTGGCATGGTTCAGAGCTTGCACCATGGACAGCAGAGTTGTCCGCGCATCGCGCTCCTCGTAAACGCTCGTCAGATAATTGTGCAGCTCTATCACACCCTGGTTCAAATTGAATAACGAGTTGATCATGAACACTGTCAATATACTGCTGGCCTATCAGTAGTCTGAAAATACGGATTGATAGCAGTATTTCTCCCTGCATTTCCTACCTTCTTGTCCATTTCAGCAACCTCATTCATCACTCCTTTGAACCACTCAAATGACAATGGCTCCCGGGTAACCCAGTAAAAATGTGCGCGGCTTGTTCTGTATGCCCTCTTCTTGTTGCTACTTGCTGTTGACACACTGAAGCTGTTGGCACTGTCCTCAGATCTACTGGTCTCCATTGCCAAGTCCTAATAGTTGTGCAAAAACAATGTGAGCTGGTATGAAGCAGAAGCATGTTAGTGGTAGAAATGGCAACAGCATAGGATGGAGTAATACCATCAGCTCTTCAGCTAGCTTAATATTGTTAAGTAGGTCCCTCAGGATGCTGATGAATGGTGTCGCCCCGATCCCGAGGCCGACAAGAAGCAGCACGTCGTAGTTTCTGAAATCCTGTGCAGGGGCGCCATAGGGACCGTCGACGAGCAATCTTGGTAAGCTGTGATATATAGAACCAAAAACAATTTTCAGTTTATTGTCTTTCAGGAATATAAGGAAGATGTCATGGAAATGGTGATGGGCTGACCTTCTTGGTTCTGTGGCGCCTAGCTCGCTGAATGAAGCTCTTCTGTTAAGGTGTGGCGAGAAGTAGTTCTCGACGAATATGCGCTTCAGCTCCTGTGTCCAGTCTCCGTTTGTTCGGATGTGAACACTGAGGTAGTCATCTCCAGGAGCTGAAGTGATGGAGAAGGGATGCCTGAAACAAACACAGTGAATCAGCACTTGAATTACTATACTATAAGCTGTGAGTAACTCGATGAGAACCGGTGAATTAATGGAGAGTTGTACAAACCATTCGAAGGGAGAAATTGTGGGACACTGAAGAAATATGTACTGTCCACTTCTATATCGAAATCCGTAGGGCTTTGACATTGTTATGGTCAATACATTTCCAGGTAGAAGGCAGACCTGAGCGAATCAATTTACATAAGAAAATATGTCTTTAGATTGGTTTCATGTAGTAAACATTATGGTAAATGAAAAAAAAAATACTGTGCACAGTATTTTCTCTTTAATCGTGATAACTTTCAATTATAAGGTTAATATGCTTAAATATTCCTTTATTTTACATTACTAAAATGATTGTAGCACTCTCGAGAAATGTTTCTTGCAACACAACGTTTTAGGATACCTTGGGTCAAAATTTCAAAAGTTTAGCTGCCTATATTATTATTCTAAATATTTATATGTGACATAGGAAAATGACATGTTAATATTTGTCTTGAAATTAATATTATAGCTTACCCTAGGTTTAAGAAAAGCATTAAAATAGGATCAGTAGTAAAATCATGTGTTGGGGATTGGGTATGTAACACAACCCTTTGTGACCAGAATCTCCGTAGAACAGAGCCTAACAAAAAGTTGCTACTATGTTCCTATACATGGGAGCACTGAAGACAGAATAGACTAATCGACAATTAAGCAAAACCGTGGACCTCAAAGACATGAAAGTCTTTAGAGAGCGACATGCATTTTCTGAAGGACCGAAATGTTCAAGTAAGGTCTATTTTTATTGTTGGTGAACTAGTAGTGGCAATATGACTTGTATCCCACAATGGCACAACATTCTCCATTTCTCCTTTACTTTCAACAAACAAAAAACCATTCTACTGCTATCACCAAACCTGCACTCTCCACTCCATGTTATTACAATGATGGATCCAAGACTTTGGAACTCGTAATGGATCTCTAATTAGGATCTGTGCAAGTTGTCTATGACAGCTCCTTTTTCTATTTTAATATTTACACTGGTCGATTAATCATGTACTAGGCAGTAAAGTAGATCAATCAGCACTAATGAAATAGCATAAAACTTTTTAGAGGTGCAGAAAAGTCAATCAATTAGTATTAGAAACTACAAAAAGTTTATGCCATTTACAGTTACCAAATTACCTTCAAGATTTTGACAGCATAAGCATTTGACCGCAAGGCTCGTAGCATCCTTTCACCGACATACAGCATCAATGGAACAGAAATGTACATCCATGTCTGAAAAAAATGCAACAAGATTCCTCAATGTTAAAGCTCTGCGTTGTTCCTAACCTGAACTTCGCCTTTTATTACACAAAATTGTTTGAAAAGAAAATTTTCCCACATGATATCATTCCAAAAGAGATAAGAGAAAGATAAGCTGCATTAAAATAACAAATTGAACCACTCGTTTTGGCACTTGGCAGCTGTCAGATTCTTTGGTGCTTCGAGAATTGCACAATAAAATGTGTTTACATCGAATATAATATATAAAATTATACTGATAAACATGTGGACCGACTACCATGTGCGTTCTGGAGACCAGTGTGTACTTTCTGACAAATGAACCTTCTGTATTGTGCAAATAGTACTAGGCATTCTGTTAATCTACAGCAGAACATACATGTTTGTCAAATAGGCCAAGCTGGCTCTTGACTATACTAGCAAAACAATTTTAAAAATTCGAGAATGCACCTAATCAAGAGGATTTCGAACAGCCTTTCCTCATGGATAACTGCATATATATATGACACCTCAATTCAGCAACCATCACAAAAAAAAAGAGACAAATTGGAACCATGAAAAACGCACCATAAAACGCCCATTCCTCTTGAATGCCAGGTGGTCCTCCTCCCATCCAACAAAAAGAAAAGTTTCATAAAAGAACTCAAAAAAAAAAAAAAAGTTCATGCCACAAGCTGCCATGAACTGCACGGGAAGTTTCACTGTCAAATTCTAGGGGCAGAGATGAGATGGCGACCAGTGCAGGTCACTCTTTCGCCTTTCACTAGCTAGACAGCCTCTTTAATCGGATCCGATCCCCTATAGATGCCACTGCCACCACCCCATGATCTCCTTTACAACTAAGAGCCTCTTGGCCCCTCCTAGATCAACATAGCACGGCAATAATTCTCGCCGTCTCGTACGTCTCATCACCACATGTGACAAGGGACACGAACGCATTAAGCTTCACATTTTTAGTCGTTGTTAAGTGGTGGTCACTGATCAAGAAAGCTAAGTAACACTACTACTGCTGCTGCTGCTAATGCTGCTTAATTAACTCAGGGAGTTTGGTGAGATGGCAATGGGCACCAAGCTAGGCCGGCCATAAAATTTAGTGGCCATGATAGATAGATAAAAAGTCTTCGAGGCATGGCATGCATCCACATGTAGAAGCAGCCAGGAGAGTAGTAGCAATGGAGGTGACGAGTTCGTGGCAAAATGTGAGAAAGCTAGCTGCATTAGGCCGGTTGCAGTAGGTGAGCTGGATTATACTAATCGTGGGGGGCATGTGATTAAGGGTCAAAGACTCAAAGCACAGTGGCAAAGAAAGGTAGTAGTACTACTAGCACCAGCAGTAGTATACTGTTAGAGTAGAAACAATCAAGCAAGCAACCAAACAGGAGAAGTTTCATGCTGAATCCATCATTGTAACCTTCATGGTTAAGGCAAGAACTGAAAGCTCGTCGCTTGCAGATTTGGGCTGTCTCCTGACGAAAGATCATGATGTGACCTAGTGGTAAAAATCATTGTAACCGCCTACCTCATGTAAATGTGGGGTAAAGTTTGCTGGCTTTTGAGCTTTGGATGATACTACTACTATCCATTAATTATTCAGACATTCAGTGAAACAATATTGTTCAGATTTCAGAGATGGATGACTAACATCGGTGCTCCATTCTGTAAAGCAGGAAGCATTCACAGCCATTCATGGCATTTAATAGATCTAGCCTGTCTATGATGATTATATTGATTAGTCTTAGCGATCCCCACCTATTTTATCAACACCCAAATCCAAATGAAAATGCCCTGTAAAGCAGTGGCAACTAGATCCACCAACAAATGTAGGACCATGATCAATAAAAATCCGTTAGTAAAAGTGTTTCATCATCGTCTACTACGTCCAGTGTTGGATTAAGCTTACGCAGAACTGACGCCACCTCTCAGCAAGTGCGTAGTAAGTTTCCATCGTAACACTACGCGAATATATTATCGTCATAGACACCCTGACTTTACTATCAAACTCTAATTAGTACTATTTTTTATCAATCAAGTTGTAGGCTTGTAGGTACTTAAAAGACACAAATATTACTTGTAAAATAATTAGTAAAACATTCCATATTTTTTATGTTTTGAAAAATATTGATATCAAACTTTTATAATTTTAACTATCCGTAACTTTAAAATTCTGGTTTAAAAGCATTAGAACAATAGATTTTTTTTCTTATAAAGTACCTTGTGGTTAAAACCACACATACATATCACCACGCCAGCAAACACATTTCTCTACTAATTAAAAAAGAAGGTCATCTTCTTTCCACCCCTTTCTCCCACTTCGTACTCAAAACCAATTCCCTCCCGTAAAAACTAATTTCTAAAAAAAAACAATGTAAAAACTAATCTACCCACTCTGTCTAAATCCTTCTGCTAAACTGAATAAAAGAAGATGTTGCAACACACGAGCTTGCAACAAAAGTTGGATGAAGATTAAGATTTTCGTAACTCGCTTTTCAAACTGCTAAACGATACGTTTCGTGCGAAACCTTCTATATGAAAGTTGCTCTAAAATATCATATTAATCTATTTTTCAAGTTTATAATAATTAAAACTCAATCAATCATTCATTAATATCATCTCATATTACGTAAAAAACTTAACATTTATATTTATCTTCATGAGAAAAAGAACACCACGTTGAAACAACGGTATTATTTCTGTCATTTCTGTCTTGACATGGCTACATGGCGGCCTGGAACGGGTAGGTACAAGGGGCCGCAGAAACAGCACGGCCACCTGGCGACCTTGGAGACCACCGGCAAACTTACATTTATACACACGTCAGGGGAAGAGGCTCTAGAGTCTGGACGACTCGACTCGTACTCCGCCAACACATGTACTCCACCGTGACAACTCACAGCAACTTCAACACTGGAGTACACAGCTGTGGACCGGTCTCGACCTGCCCCCCCTACGCCGCTGCCTACCTCGACACGGCCTATTTATGATCAGGGACACAATCACACAACTACGCCATCCTTGACCATCACGAGCAAGACACAGGACAGCACAGTAGGTCGATCTGGTGCCCGGCTGGCTAGCAACCACGGCGACTCTGCACTGCACAGGTCACCTAAATAATCTGACTATTTTCTTTTCGTACTTACAAAAAATAAATAGAGCTCTTTTAAGGCAAAAAAAGATTTTTTTTCTCGGTTTGACTTTGTCTCGACTCACTCTCTCAAGTCTCAAAAACATTCCTCTCTTTTCTTTTTGGGCACCGTTGCTGTCACGAGTCATGTTGTCACTCACTGCAACGAGAGGTAACGAACGCTTCTAGAGGGGATGGCAACATAAAGCAGCAGAGGAAAAACACCCTGAAAACGCCCCTTCCCAAACGAAAGCGAGCCCACCGGGTGGACCCCAAATGCTTTTGCACGCGCCGCCCGGACCAAACAGAAAACCGTCACCCTCACCGTTTTAAAAAAAAAACCCAAAAAATCCGTAACGGATTCAAGCAAAAAAAAGGAAAAAATATAAAATAATTGGATATTTTTAAGGATGTTTGTGATGGCACATACCGTTTTCAAATACCAGCGACGGACGAGGAAGAGGAAGTACCCATGGGCGATAAGAAGAGCGTAGACGATGCCGAGGAGGTGGTGGGAGTACCAGAAGGCGTTGAACCCCGCGAGGCGGTTGAACGGCGAGGGGAGCCGCGCTACCGTGGGGAGGACGGTGGCGGCTGCGCCACCGCCGCTGCCACCCTTCTCGCCCTTGCGGAACGGGTGGGTGGCCAGCGTGAAGGAGACGGTCATGAGCACCACCATGGCGACCCCCGTGATGCCCTCCACGCCCGAGAGGAGCCCCACGTAGGTCGGCTTCTCCGGCCCGAACGCGTCCGCCACCAGCCGGTACTCCTCCGGCCCCGACGCGATCAGCCTCGGGAAATCGCACGCCAGATGGTTCCCCGCGTGCAGCGTGATCCCCACCACGATCGCCGTCGCAATCATCTGCAACAAAAAAAATTATTTGTTACTATTATCTTTACATTTTTCACCATTTACAAATAAAACAATAATATTGTTTTGTTCATAGTTCTACATGTCATCCTCAAGAAACTTGTAATTCTTCGATTTGAGTGTGTTTAGTTACCAGAAGTTTCTAACACGGGGACATGGGTGGGTGACTGGGTGTCCACTTCGCAAGAGGTAGCTTGTCGGTCTCTGGACTAATTTTGACCCTTGACTTTTGGCGATTACTGAACAGTACAAGTAGAACACCGTAGTCGTACCATGTGTGGGGGCAAGGGATCTTCTGCGGCGACCGTGGATTTTGGCAGCAAGTAGTAGTAGAGCAAAATGATAGGGCGGGCAGCATGTAACATGGGAGGGGGTAGCTGACCAGTGCGACATGGGACCCAGACAGCCGAAGTATACAGTACGCTAAGCCATTCTACTCCTCTCTCCACTCTCCAGGGATAAAAAGTCTCGAGCTACCACATGGGAGGCAAAGCGCGGAGGCCAATTTCACACGGGATCCCGGAGAGAGAGAGCCGGTGGGCTCCACGTGGCCGGCCAATCATTGCCCGCCACGTTACCCCTCCAAACATGACGCACCGCCGACGACGGCGACCGCTCAACCAACCGCCGCGTCGCCGCTGTATCCCGGCGACAGTAGCTTCTACTCCATCCGTTTCAGGTAAGTTTCAGGTTACGAGAGTCAAACTGTTTTAATTAAAGTTTTAAGTTTAATTAAATTTATAGATAACTTTAACTAAAATTAAAATGTTTTATAAAGAGAATATATACTTACCAAACAGTAGCTTCTACTCTATCCGTTTCATGTAAGTTTTCAAACTGTTTTAAGTTTAATTAAGTTTATAGATAATTTTAACCAAAGTCAAAACGTAAAGTATATACTTACCATACATAGTAAAAAAAAAGAAAAAAAGAACAAGTGAAGAGAGTTTAACCGCATGACACGTTACACACTTACTCTCCATCCCATTTTAAATGCAGTTATAAATTTATGTACTCCATCCATCCCATAATATAGTAACTAGGACTGGATGAGATATTTTATAGTACTACCTCTATTTTTTAATAGATGACGCCGTTGACTTTTTCTCACATGTTTGACCATTCGTCTTATTCAAAAAATTTACGTAATTATAATTTATTTTGTTATGAGTTGTTTTATCACTCATAGTACTTTAAGTGTGATTTATATCTTATACATTTGTATAAAATTTTTTGAATAAGACGAATGGTCAAACATGTGAGAAAAAGTCAACGGCGTCATCTATTAAAAAACAGAGGGAGTATAACGAATCTGAACATATTGACGGTATATCTTACTTGAAATTTTTTTGACCTATTTTTAAAATATTTAATAAACTTTTTAAATTAGATAGACGATTAAAATTTAAATATCTTATTTTTAACCTATTTAATATTTTTTTTAAATATAAGATAGATAGTTAAAATTTAAATATACAAATTCTGACTGTATTTAAAATGGGACATACGACTGTATTTAAAAGGAGACGGAGAGTGTTATTTAGGCGGGAGGGGATTTAATTGAATTTACCTTGTGGAAGGTGATGTTGTCGTCGAAGGGGACGAAGAAGCGGGCCCAGGAGGAGCGGAGCCACGTCAGCGTGTTGCGGCAGACGGGGAGGAGGACGAGCGCCATGTTGAGCTTGAGCGTCTCGGCGGCGCCCTTCGCCGTCGGGAGGCAGTACCCCATCACCCGGAACGCCGGCGTGCGCCGGTACTGCACGAACTTCCACACGAACAGCGACGCCATGGCGGCGAACCACAGCGCCACCACCCACGCCCGCCGCCAGTTCTCCTCCGCCGCCACCCTCACCCTCGCCGCCGCCTTCCTCACCCCCCACCCTCCCCTCCTCCCCTCCTGCTGCTGCTGCTGCTGCTGCCCCCCTCTCGCCGCCACCGCCGCGTGCGCTCCTCCGCCTGTTGCTGCTGCCGCCCCCGCCGCCACGGCGGCGCCGCCGAGGTTCTGGCTCCACTGGGCGCCGCTCGCCGTGCTCAGCGGCCGGCTGTAATTCATGTAGCTGTCGCGCTGGAGCAGCAGCGCCTCCAGCTGCCACAGCTGGCGGACACAAACGAGGAAGACGACGAGACACGTGTCATCACGCCGGAGCCCACCAAAAAGACAAAGCTCTAAACATATACGTACACTATACGTATATACGTATACGGCCAAGAGATAGAGAAAAAAAGAAAAAAAATAAATACGCATCAGTGCACGCACCTCAATGTAGCCGAGGTTCTCCGGGTCGAGCTCCTCCATGATGAGCGACGCGTACTCCTCCGCTTGCTCCTTCAGCTTCGCCAGCTTGTTCGCCGACGCGCTCAGGACGATCAGCTGCGAGTGACAGTTAATTACCGCAGTAAAAAAAATGGAGAATTGGTTAGTGATCGGATTAGAAATTTAGGCAACTGGGTGCCCACAGGAAGAAGCTTCTGATGATTAGTGAGAGAGAAGGTAAAAGAGAAAAAGAAAGTTTAAAACGTGTTTAAACAAAGTCACCTCCTGTACTTCCTCCCTCGTTATCCTCCCATCCACGTTGGTGTCCACCCTGAATTTTGGGGCCAAGAACGCAACAAGAAGCATTATCAAGAATCTGTGACTACCACAATGGGCATCGGGATTCGGGACGGATGGATCGATTGATCCGTTACGTGCGATCCGGTGAAAAAGAAAATGTAAATTTTGATGGGGGGAAGGGGGTAGAATTCGGGTTGAGTACATACATGTCGAAGAAGATCTGGAGGCGCGCGTCGAAGCTCTGGTCGGAGATCTGGAGCCAGAAGTCGTAGAGCTCCTCTCTGGTGATCCGCTCCAGATTCTGTCGCCGCCGCCGCGCCAGCGCGTCGAAGATGCCGACGGCGAACTCCTTGGAGTCCACCATTCCTGCGGGTTTGATAATGGGTTTCAATTGATTGAGATGGGCATGCGAGGCCAATAAACGTCGCGATAATGGTGGATAGGATCATGGTGGTGGTGAATGGAATTGGTGGAATTGTGTGTGTTTGGTGTTTGATACCGATGCATTCGCCGAAGTCGTCGCGGGAGAGGAGGCCGTCGCGGGCGAGGGCGTTGAAGCGGTCCTCGACGCGGCGCCAGAGCTCGGCGGCCTGGACGGTGCCGGTGGTGCGGCTGATGAAGCGGAGGCCCTTGAGGGCGCGCTTGGCGCCGGTGCTGGAGCGGTTGAGGCGGGCCTGGATGCGGCGGCGCTCGCGCGCCGCCATGGCCGCCTCGCGCTGCAGCTCCGCGGGCGTCGGCGGGCGCGGCGACGGCGAGGGGGACGGCGAGCGCAGCCACGCGAACTTCTTCCGTATCCGCGACGACGTCGACGAGCACCGGCTCAGGCTCCGCGCTCCCCCGCCCCCCTCCGGCGTGCGCAGCGGCGGCGGCAGCGGCTGTGGCATCTGCCCGCCGCCGCCGCCGTAGAGAGTGGCGCTGGTGGGAGTGACGCTGCGCACGACCATGGACTCCTCGTCGAGCTCCAGCATGACCTCGACGAGGTCCCCCTGGTCGGCGAGGAATGCCGGCAGCATACCACCCCCTCCACTCCCGGCCGCCGCCGCCGCCGCGGCGAAGAACTCATCGCCATAGGCGGTGGTGTATGACTCGTTGTCGGAGGTGTCGGTGTTGGTGGTCTGGTCGTCGGCGAGGTAGTCCGCGATGCGCCTATGGCCACTCCGCCGCGCGGCGTTGCTCCCGCGCGACGGCGTCCACATGCCCGCCGGGGCGCCCGCGCCCGCGCCCACGCCACGCCGCGCCCGCGCCGCGCCACGGGAGTGTCTGTCTACAAGGGCAAAGCAAGCGAGACTGCGAGAGAGAGAGAGAGCAACGCGACGCGCGGTCGTTGGTTGCGTTGCGCGTCCTTCCTTCCCCCCCCCCCCCCCCCCCTACTAGGATATATACTAGTAGTACTAAATACGTATAATGCGACTATCCCGTGGGCGCGGCCGCTGCCTGCGCGCGGCGCGGTGCGGTGCGGAGTGCGGTGATTTCGTCTCCGTCTCGCGCAATCGCGCGGTGTTTTTCTCGTTTTTCTGCGGGGTTGGTGCGGGGAGAGGCTCGCGTCCACGGCTCGGCGCGCGCGGTTGGGTTGGGTTGGGTTTTTGGCTGTGGACGACACGCGAGAAATGAGCTCCGCGGGACACGAGTGCGTGCGGTGACGACTGATGACTGACGAGACGCGTTCGGTGAAGGAAAAAAAACCTCGGAGCCTTGCGGTTTTTGGCGGTGTAGCGGGGTGGGGAATCCAAGGTGCCGTACTGACATTAGTTGGGGTTGGGCCGAGACATGTTCACAGGGCATCATCAAACTTGAAATTAGATCATCTAACTTATTGTCCTTATATGGGTCTCACAATTTATGAAAACATTATATCACAAAAGGTTTTTCCTTTAATTCGGGGGTATGTCTTTCTTTTTTGGGGGTTGAATGGAGTGAAATGGAATGCTGAATTGTACGAGAATATAAACGGATTAATTGACTATTTTAAGGTTAAGAAATGAATTTTGAATTTGAATTGATATTTCAAGAACTTTTTTTGCATCGCAGCATTTAGGATCTCGGGAAGTATGCGTGTTGTTATATTCCATTGTAATGTAGTAGCGAGTTGCCACTCTTTGTGTGCACCTTGTCACTTTGCTGTGAGTGTTATTGGTACCATCTTAGTGTGATGAGTTGATTGGAGACGGTGAGCAGCTGTCAGGTGCTAAACTCCAGCGTTCAGACTTCGGTTAGGCGTGCCTGTACATAATGTTCTCTCTGATCATCGGTCCAAGAACATCTGGAAACAATAATTAATACAAGAGACATGTGATGTTTCTGAAGCCATTTATGAGTACCTAATGTGGGCCAACACTATTTTGCATTTGCAGAATCGCTTCTGGTCTCAATACATACACTCTCAGTTGCTATCGTCCTCGCTGGGTTTAGTTCTCCCCTGGGCTCTGAAGGGGACTCATCTTTTTGTCTACATTAGATGTGGCGCATGTGTGTTATTTCAGAGCCAGAAATGACTCTGAAATATGATACCTACAGTCGAGGATCAATGTTCAGAACTTCAGACTCCAGGATTTTCAGAGATCGCCCTTCTAGAAGCTCAAGATCTCCTTTTTTTTTTCTCACTGGCCTACATGAAGGCTACGTATCCTTTCTTAAGCATTAGATCCACATCGAAATTTCTGGTTAATTAAACATTTAAACCCTGTGGATTATTCGGTTATGACTGATGAACAGTTACTAATTGCTAGGTCGCTAACAATGACATGATATGATATTATTAGTCACTACTTTTCTCCCAAAATATAAAAGACTATAGTTATTTACCCAGATATTATACTTCTTTGAGTACATAGTCAAAGTCTTGTACATTTTGAGATGAAGGTAGGGTGTGTTTAGTTCACACCAAAATTAAAAGTTTGGTTGAAATTGGAACGATGTGACTGAAAAGTTAGAAGTTTGTATATATAGGAAAATTTTGATGTGATGAAAAAGTTAAAAGTTTAAAGAAAAATTTTGGAACTAAACTCGGCCGTAGTAGCTAGGAAGCATCGGTAAAGGACAGCCTACGTGTGTCACATGGTTGGAGATGAGGACGGTGACGGCCACCGCCGCGCACACGAAGAGCCAGTCGCCGGAGTAGCCACCGGCAGGAGCTAGCAGCAGCTGTGTACAACACGTACTCCGGCGAGGTAGGTGAGAGTTCAGTGTACTTCCACACACCGAATTGACCGACGACGAAAGCGATGACTTAGGTCGACCTAAGCAGCTAAGCCAAGGGTTTGTTAGCCAGTGATGGATGCAGCAACGCACCACACTACTACTGGTTCAGTGCACCGTGTAGAACACGGCTGCATTGCAGATGTTGATGCCTGATCTCTTTTTTTTTTCTCGGTCTCTCGGTCTCAGTCTCGCCTTTTAGGGCTGGTTTGGTTTGAGGTCTAAATTAGGTTTACTAATATTTAATATTTCAATAGTGTTTAGTGTCTATTTGGTTTGAAGCCAAATTTTGGCATGTCTAAGAAAATAGGTCATTTCAATAGTGAACTTAAGCTATTTTAGTTTCAATCCAAACACAACTTTGTCTTACCAAAATTAGTCATGCCAAAACATGTCAAAATTTGGCACTGACAAAATTTGGGAAGGCCAATTTAGCCACAAACCAAACCAATCCTTATTCTTTTTCTTCTCTAATCTTTTATTTAATTATTTGGCCGAAGCGAATAGTCGCTCATATAAACGCACGCACATACCGTTATGTGTTGGCAGGACTTCCAAGAATCCAATATGGCAAAGTGGCCTCCTGATTCAGTGGCCTAATTAGCTGGTTCATGAAGGATGATGAGTTAAACTGAATTCCTCAGCATTAGAACATTATTATCATGGGTCCTTCTAGAAGCTTCTGAGGGAGGATATATACTAGTAGTGGTAGCATTAAACAACTCGCAAGTACAGTACACTCCATCTCTCTCTGAAGCTAAACCTGAGGCTCCCTTTCCAAGTGCACAGGGAAGACAATTAATCCTAACGAACCTGATAGATCATGTAGGAGCATGAAAGATTCCGATTGAGATGATCAGAAACGAATCAAAGATTTACTAAACACACCCTAAGTGCAGTGATTGATCAGTACAGTACAGAAGAGTACAGACAGTTGAAGAGCAGAATGCAATGGCACTAAAGTGAAAGCGAGAGGGCACTACTGCTGCTACTTCTACCACTATTTGGCGTCAATACCGTACTTTGCACGTTGATGACTCGACTCCCCGACCAAATTCGTGGCTCAGATTGAATCTTTTTCATCGTTTCCAGGGGCTCTCATTGCAACTGTGTTAAGATTAGATACCTGGTTTTACCTTGAAGTCAAGTCTAGCTCAGCTGTCACCCCTAGCTTTTGTATTTGGAGCCTGGCACTTTCCATTGATTAACCCGTCTGTTTCTTCTTAATTTGTACACCCTGGAGATTAAAAAAAAAGGATTGGTGCAGGCTAGGTGGCCACTGATGACTGACCCATATCATGCAGAACTTGACTCTGTGCAGGGCTTCGGATAGTGTCATATTAGTGGAGGAATTCATGCTTAAAAAAATGTAATGAGGAGGATAAGAGTTTGAGGTTGATGCATTGCGCTTAATTTTTTAGACAGTTCTGGAATAATAGTTATGGAAAGAAGCTATGTATTTCGTTGACAAATCAAATTGTGGTTAGACAATTTTTCAAGGCTCCTTTTGAATGCATTAATTTTATAGGATTTTCGTAGGAATTAATTAAGTTCATGTAAAATTCCTATTAGAATTCCTGTTCAAAGGAGATTTTACCCAATGTTGTTTCTCCTGATATTGGGTGTGTTCGCTTGCGGCTGCTGCTATGGTTATGGTAGAAATTGTATGTAGTCACTGTTGGCTGCCATCTAGTCACACCGAACAAGCCCATTTTCAATATTTTTTTCATTTGTAACTTAGCAATTATATATAAAAAAAAATCTTAAAACAATTTCATCGAACATAGTCCACCTTGACAAAGAACAGAGTCTAAGAGCTCTCTTGACATTATTTTAATTATCTACTACTTAAAAGCGGAATAGTCCGTCCATTCCTCTCCACATCGCATGAAACACACAACTACCTCCCCTACCTCCCCCCTAAAAAAAGCAGCTGGTTAGCCAAAAAACCGATTGCAATGCAAAGTCATGTCAGCTAGTTTCTAAAAAGATGTATTTCATTTTTGAATTTAAGAAAATTAATCCTAAATTAGTTTTAGGGGTTATTTTCATTGCCCATACTTATTTTCATGATTTCTAAGAAGACAAAGAGGTTATACCTAAAAGTTAATATTAAAAATTATATTTTAAAATTTTGGCCTTTCAGAAAAAAAAAAGATAATGATGAGGGGGAGAGAGTGAGAGAATAGAGGAGGAGAGAGAGGACGGCATTAAGGCTCCAAATGCTCCCATCCCATTGGCTGATGGAATGAAATGGCCGATGGACAGCGAAGGCATGGCCGATAACAGCCCGGCCATTTCCCATGACCCCATCACTTTTAACATTGGGAATGCATGATCAATTGATCATATCCCCAACTAATTAGAAAGTGCCATCCCCTGGCTAAAGCCACTGTCCGTTTAACTGCATCACGCGCTTCTCGTAACCTGAAATCCTGCCCAAAACTTCAGAGAAAAAGGAGGCTTATTTTACAGCTTGCAGCAGATTCAGACTGTGATCAGTATGTAATAGACGTTGCGCAATGACCTGCAGGCTAGGAAATCAATCGCCGATTCACTATAGCTGTCCATGAAATAAATACCTGCATGTGAAAATCAATATGAACAATTTTTTTGGAGACGGTGTACGTATATATCTAGCAACTTCTATGATGCGTCAGGGAGAGGAGAGAGATATTGAGGCTTGCATTCAAGTGTTTTTATGGAGGACACTTTCTGCCCGGATCTAACGGCAAAGACATCATAATTCAGCAAAATTTCGCCCATACAAATGCATAAATTTGACAATCTGTCCCATTTCCAGAATCCAGACGTGAACCTGAAAGAGCCACAATGCGATAGTGTGCCAAGCTAAAGCAATCCTAGTGTATATTGTAGGCATCACTCACTTATGGCATGACATTTAATAGGTAGTATTATACTACAATATTGTTATTAGCTGGAGAAATTTCAACAGTTGATTTATAAATTTTACTACAATTAGATTTTTTACTAGTAATAATCGAGATGATAATACAAATAAGGGAAAATTAGAACCATACCATTATAATTTTGCAAAATTTGAAATATGTCATCATGACCCACATGTCATTGACTCATGTGGGTCCTACATGTCATTGATATACCGATGATATATCTCAAACTTTGCAAAATTATAATGGCATGGTTCCAATTTTACCAAATAAATAAATATGATTCATTGGATTGGAAAAGATGATCGGTCTAGATTATATATCTGCTATTAGTATAGACCATAATAAAGTATCTCATTACTATATAAGTGAGAAATCACCTGTCTAATCCTTTTTGCGATGAACCAACTAATCGATGTGTAAAACTGACGCAATACAGAGAAATGCATGCCCATCAACTGCAAATTGAGAATGACAATTTTAATTTGAAAGACAAAGTGACAAATTAACTGATAAGGTTCTAGATGACATTGAAAAAATTGGACGCGTGAGCTTATAAATTAGAAAGCTTAAGAAAGAATATATGTCCTTGAATATTCGTTTTGTTTTTTTATTACCGAATTATTATATGCTTATGCAAAGGCTGCTGATTTGAGTTGCTGATCTCTTTGGACTTTGGTTCGGTATGGAGGTAGCAGGTGAAGCTAAGCACATCTGCGCTGTGTATATAAAAAGTCAGTAGGTGAAACCATACGTGTAGTACTCCCTTAACAATAAGATATAGTACACCGGTACATGTCTCATCTTCTCTTCACTCTTCACTCGTTTAGTTAATGTTGTCAATGAATTTATAATTAGTTTGACCATCATTTGAAAGGGATAGTCTATTTGTCCTTGTTCTAAGTTGTTCATCCTTTTTATTTGCGAACCAGAGCATTTCTAGGTGCTGAAGGCAAATATGTGAAAATTCAGGGGGAAAAAAATGAGACCTATATATGTTCCTGTGCAAATCATGTTTCTTTTTCTTGCAAAAGTCCTTCATATATATGGTATTTGTCTAAGCATTCCCTTAGTGTTTTTTTGAGAGAATTTTTCTTTGGAGAAAGTATAATACGCAGAATTGAACTGTTAGTATGTATCTATACAATGAAAAGGACCATATTTAGTTCTAAAAAGTAGTAATTATTCTGCACGACAAGCGAATGGGTAGTTGGTCGGGATTTGTAGACTACAAGCAAAAGGCACATTCGGTGAATGTACTAATAGTTTTAGGGTCAAATAAGGACACTGTTTCATTAATCTAGTAGTTGAAGGCCAATCTGTGAGAGGATTGGTACTACTGATCACTCTTATATGTCATGTCTTGGATTCTGTCTTACTTTTTTAAGGCAAGGATTTTGTCTTAGTAGCTAACTGGAATTGTACCATCAGTCATTTATGTTAGGATGTTATTACTCTCTCCATTTAATAATATAAGACGGATTTTATTTCATTAGAACAAAGCTTTAACTAACAACTATTTTACTGATATTATCATCTATGTGATAAAAAAATTAATTATAAGAAAGTATTTTTTTTGTTAATATAAATATAATAGTAACAAAAAATTATGTCATAATAGAGTAATTGTTAGTCATAGTCTTATCCTAATGAAATAAAATACGTCTTATAATTTTCAACGGATGGTATTGCAATAAATGAAAGATAGATCATGGATAATGCCTACAAGAAATACGATGTATTTAGTTTTTGACATATTTATAACAAAAGGACATGCATGCTACCTTCTCAATGAAGTCTTGGATGTAAGTGGCATGAGATATGCGAAACTCTGTTTTTTCTTGAAAAAAATTGTGTAACACTCAGTGGCGACATTTCTCATCCTTTTGTTTTTAATTTCAGAGGCCAGTGGTTGGTAATTAGTGGCAGGATCTGATGCACTTTCCCCCTCTGTTTTCTTATAATATTTCTGCTCATCTTTTGAGCAAAAGAAATGAAAGTCATGGTTCCTTTCTAGTTTCTACGCTTGCCGGAAACTTGTAGTGCAACCAGAAGTTTGCTGCCCATTCAGGTATCCATCTTTCTATTTATTTATTTCTATCTGCTTTTCTTGGCACGCATCTAGAAAGGCAATAATAATACACCCGTCAAAGCCATCCAATGATAATTGCCGTAAAATGACAGGGTGGTTGTTAAGAAGTTAATTAATTGCCGAATCATTGGGGTGACAAATTATGATCAACTCAGCTCATTGTCTCTCTTATGGAAGTCTAGAGTAAACTCCAAAGTTTACCTGTGTGCCAGGAATTTCTACACGCCCCAATCAACCAAGTCCAGGACTAAATTTTCTTAATTATACCCCCCAATCAACCAAGTCCAGGACTAAATTTTCTTAATTATACCCCCCAATCAACCAAGTCCAGGACTAAATTTTCTTAATTATGAGAACATCGGACTCCAAGGTGACCTGCTTGGTAGGGATCTTATTTTCTTCTGCAAACTATAGCCTAAGACACGTGATCTAAATTATAAAGAAATGAATAACTCCAGCTTGGCTTGAAGTAAGGGTGTAAGTGGCTAACCAATGAAACCCACTTATAGACTAAAATAACCCACGAACCTGTTTATTTTTGACCCATAAGTGAGCTCACATGAAAAACAAAAAAACGACTGATACACAAAAATTCTCGGACAGTTGTGTGTGCTCCTTCTAACATCCTGACATCTACCCCAAGAACATCCACATCGTCACACTGGCAGTGAAAATGTAGAGAGCTTAAGGAGGTACTAACCACTCGTTGATCGCTAAACATTACTAGTATAATAATTAATTGCTATTAAATCCAACGCTGCACGGCCGATTGACAGAGTGCAACTTGGGTGGCTAGGCGGCAACTGATCCATCGAACGAACAACGGCCTCCTTGGAACTCTATAAACTTTGCCGTGATCGATGGATTTAACGTTTACCAACCACGGATTACGTAGCAATCGGGCTAATAGCATCTTCAACTCTCTCTCTCTCTCTCTCTCTCTCTCTCTATATATATATATATATATATATATATATATATATATATATATATATAGAGAGAGAGAGAGAGAGAGAGATGTCACTTTCAGATCTTCAGTCCCAGAAAAAAAAACTGAACATGTAAGTAATTATGCATTAAGATCATACACATGGTAAATCACTCATTCTTTTTTTTTTCAGTATAGTAGGCTAGCAACCTTTGCTCAACGTGGTGAATCAAATCGTATTGACCTAGTTTTTATCTAAGAAAACCGTTTAACTCAAGTGACAGAGATGGTAAAAAGGTGTTTCTCAAAAAAAAAAAAAAAGAGAGATGATAAAAAGTACAAGCACTTCATTGTCATGGTAGGTAATCGATCGCTAAAGGTGAAAAAAATAAATGCACAAAGTTGGTAAGAATTTCACTTCTAAACGACGACTACGGGCTTCGACAGTCATTTTCCGTGTAAATTTGAAAGAGAACCAGAGAAAAAGGAATATTAGATGCGGAGGGCAATGATAGGGCAGAGAACACCAGCAGAAGGCAGAGAGTCAAATATACAAGCCCTCCATCCTTTTTGCAAACCACAAATGACATCTTCATTCAATATAAAAGAAGGAAAATTTATAGCATTTGAAAAACATGACATCTTTTTCTCAGGCTTAGCTATTGATGAAGGGTGATCACGGAAGGTAGCATAACCCCATGTAACAAAACAATGCCCTGAAATACCCTATCCGGAGAGTTATGTTCCCTTGTTCAACTTAAGGCTTAAAATGTTTATAAAATGCTTATTCAGACATTATTTGTTTTCTGAAAGTAGTCCACTATATAATTAAAAAAAAATCAGAGGAGTAACATACCTTCTTATGACGAGGAAAATTCCATTTCTTTCTCATACTGCTCTTACTCTTACTTACCATATCACTGACACCGTAACAGGATCTCTTGGCAAATCAGACTGATAGAAGCATTCCACCTGTTGTTAATGACAGAACGTTGCTGGATGGTATTTCTCAAACCAAATTGCAGTGAGCTGACAATGCAGTCTGCGCAAAAAGTATGCAATGGTGGTTGTCCTGTCATTAACCACTCGATGAAACAGGAATCATGAAATTAACTTCGGAGGGACGTGCAGATTGCAACAGGAAGGAGATAAAACATATGAGAAAGATAAATGCACCAGAAAGCCCAAACCAGAACCCTATAAATCAACTGCTTTTATCAAACCAGGATTTGCTTCTAGATGAGATTGTCATCAACAATGCCAGAACCTTTGCTAGCCAAATCAACTGTACAATAAACAACAGTGGAAGTACAAAACAAAGCACACCATTAAAATCAACTCGTGGATACAATAAAGCCAGCACGTCCACAATTGGGGTGCTGTCAGCGATAGTAAGCGTCATACCATTATGACCAATATTCTAATGAAATAATAAAATCTTGTATGTGTCAAAATCATGAGCTCTGACCATAGGACAAATCTGAGGAGCGAAAGCGAGACTACAAGAGCAACCAGAGGAGATATAAAATATGACACAACAATTTGGCAATAGCGAAAGAGGCTTTTCAGCTGGTAGTTGGACTTCAGATATCAGCAGCTCGAAAAGAAATAGAAGCACTCATAGAAGAGATGACTCAATCTGATATCTAAATAAAAACAATGACAGGGAGCATCCCTGCTCACAGGGAAATTGGTCCATTTCATTAGGACGTTTTTTTTTATCAAGGCATGTCACCTTTCAGTATCAACAAAGTTTTCCAAGGCCCATATGGGCAATGTAATTAGGGAAGCAAAAAGAGGTAAAAAGATGAAACAGTGCCATTGGTTTTGCAAATCAGATAACACAACGAAAATAAGCACCATCTTTTGCAGGCTTACTGGGGAAGTACTAGATAGCTGTTTCAGTTATAAACTTACTCTTTTCACTTCCTTGGATCCCTCACGTAGTTAAGTTATTAAAACAACTCATCTCCAGGTCAGAATGTTGCATTTGTAAAAGTCACCAAATAATGGTGATGCAAACAATTTAATGGACTTTAATTTATATGGTGCACCACACTATTCAATAACCATTGGACCTATCTTTTCAGCCTCTTTTGGGGAGTTTTACCAATTCTTTCTGGAACTGATCGGTTTCATATGGAAGTCCTCTTCCAAATGGGACCTTAAATTGGATGGTCAATGACAAAAGTTAGGAAATTAATTTAAGAACAAATAAACCATATCTTCTTTCTAGGATCCTGGATAAGATGGCAACCTACTCTTTTGGATAATGGTTTGCTATATGCACACTTACCCTCAACTGCCTCGTGGTGTGGCTTTCGTCATCTCATAACATCAACAACATATGTTCAGCAAAAGGTGATGTTTCCAAACAGAATCATGTTTCGTAACACAAACATGACGACAAAAATAGACTTCTGACAGGTCAGGCTCAAATTATTGAAATAAAAATATCATTTACTGCCAACAACCTATACATAATATCCCCGCAAAAAAAAATAACCTATACATAATAGGTACATATAACAGCTGATTCCACTATATATTCAAGTATTAACCTAGATATGCCACAGTGCCACACAGATGACATGTAATAGGAACACCATCCTAACTTGAGACAAAGGGCAAAAGTGAAAAGATTCAACAGTTTAAAGTTGTAGATTGGAAGGTTTCAAAACTCAGGGTTGAAAAGTGTATAGCTGACAGAGTTCAGGGTTAAATTTTAGCCTTTTCCATGCATAAATGAAGAACAAAAAATGGAATAAGTAGCCATATTTTTCACCACAAAAGGTTTCAATGAATAATCCATATTTCTAATTGATTTTACTTGTGTTGTTTTACAAAGCAATTTGGCATATTTGCCATCGAAAAAAGAGAGAAGGGAAGTTATCAATTATCATAGATATTAAGTGTTTGTTTTCTGTAGAATAGAAATTCAAGATTGAGGATACGCCAATAACTATATCTCGTATTCTACAAAACTGGAGTCATCCAACATCCACCTTTCATGATTTTGTTGAAATCAGTGTGATTTCGCAACATACCCATCAACTGCAAAATTTCTCGTAGCTGATGGCAGTGCCAATCGCATTCCATCAAGCTCAGGGCTTGCAATCACTTGGCAACCAAGACGGGATCTAAAAAAACAAGATTAAATTAGTTAAATAAAAGTAGTAAATTCAAAAGGATTGAGAAAGAAGATAATCGTACGTCTCTGTAAGCCCAAATGCAAGGTCCAGCATATCGTTCTCCTCATCCACAGGATCTTCCAATTTGTTGTAGTAGTCAACATCCTGAAGAGAACTTTCTTATCAAACTACACTTTTACCATCCAATCCAATTGAACCTTTAAGAATAACATCATACCGTTACAATCACATGGCATGTCGAACATGCAAGAGAGCCCTCACATGCCCCTGTTATCATGACAACAGGGGGCAATTCAGATGATATATTAGAAAAAATACAGTTATTTTAGTGGTACCAGAAATGGAGCTAGGAAAATCATTTTTGTACTTCAATAAGACAGATCAACATAACAGAATAGTTAAGGTGGCACGGTGACAATGCCAAGGCTCAGAATGATAGGTATAACAGAACGATAGATTTTGTCCAACACAACATGAAACATGCACAAGCATAAATGTACTTAAAAATTGATTTAAATCAAAATGAGCAAACATTAAGACTCGGCATTTCAAATGACCTTCAAGTTCTATGTCATTCTCATGTGCTGCCTCTAGCATTGACATTCCTATAGGTACTTTAACAAGCTTTTCCTCGCCATCCTTATCAACAAAAGTCACAGATATCCTGCAAATTAAATTATAATATTTGATATTCAAGTTCAAATTGTAGAATAAAACAACATGGACTTTATAACCAAAATCACACATGAGCCAACAGATAAAAAACAGTAGCGCCCCATTGGAATGACATTTATGCTCACTGTAAAACATGTAATGTGTCATGTACTTAAATTCAGAAAGTTGACATGCTGAGAAAAATTCAAATAGGCAGCAACGTGAAGCAAGTAGACCTCAAACGAATACCCTATGCTCATCAAAAAAGAGATGGACCAGTAAAACTGCAAAAATCGCAAACCTTTTTACCTAAATTAAGTTTGTGACACAAGCTTCAGGATAAATTCCATACATGATATGGAATAGACACTCATAATGGCCTTGCTGGTGTTCAAAAGGTCAACAGCACAATCTATACTTAGACAGCATACATTCACAGTTGCATGGAGTAAGAGTAATTGCATTATTCAGTGAGGATGAACCACACTCATATTCAGAATAATATGAAGTGAACACACTCTGCATCTTTGGAGGAAAGTTGGCTTCAAAATAAAAGGAGAAAAGAAAAAAAAAACTTGCGGGAAGATGGGCATCAAAGGAGACGATTACCAAGGCTAAGCACATTTTGAGGTTGACAGCATATGTAAACATGAAAATCATACAGAGAAATCCCATAACCATGTCAAGTCCAATGGAAGTGGTAGAATCACCCAGGCAAGATGATGGCTTCTAGGTTGACCAATGCTGCATCATGTAAGAACTTGAGAAACAATTTTGGAGCAGGAAACCCATATGGGCCTCCCAATTACCCGTTTTATTCCGTTAATCCCACCTATTTATATTTCTAATTGAGCCCCCATATAATGTTTAACATCTCATTCTTCTACTCTCTTTGCTCCCTAATAGTTGCCTCTATGACAACACACAGAAAGTAGAATTGCATAACTCCAATATAGACAAAGATGATACTCATGTGCAGAAGGGCAGAATTATACAAGCTCTACCTCTAAAGAGATCTGATAATACAAGACCAAGGCTAGTTAACTAAACTAGTAAACTACCATTGATTATACAATTTCGTTCTTGCCCCTACTTTGATGTCCAATATTGATTTTGCCCCTGTTTTTTAGGGTTTTCGTTTTTACCCCTACTTTTTTGAAACGAAACAACCGTTTGCCCCTGTTCCGTTAATTCTTCCTAACGGTGTTAAATGTGTGTGTGTGTTTGGAGGGGGGGGTTAAAAAGACAAGTATACCCTTAGATATTTTCCCGTACTTTTGACATAATCAAAATACAAATCTATTGATGCAATACTCTATCAGTAATTTAATTTGTCAACAATTTGTGAAAGTTTGCCAAGATTTGGATCAAATTTGAAAGTGGTGTACAAAAGTACCGGAAATATCTAAGGGTATACTTGGTCCTTTTTACCCCACATTTAACACCATTAGCAAGAACTAACGGAACAGGGGCAAATGGCTGTTTCGTTTCAAAAACGTAGGGGCAAAAACGAAAACCCTAAAAACATGGGCAAAATCAATATTGGACATCAAAGTAGGGGAAAGAACGAAATTGCCCCTAAACTAAAAGAGTTGAATGATAATGGAATGTTTTTAAGTGCCTCCTATTCTTGAGTGGTACTTAACTATTCATCTTGGAGAAGTTTTATCTGAAGTTTGCCAACTTCCAAACCAAAAGCATTCCCAAAGGCCCAAAAGCTTCATAAACATGAATGCCGTTCATGTTAATTACCAGATTTACAGACATCACCAGAGTAAATTTGTGTTCCAGAAAGTAATCTACAAATAGCATATCAAACTTTTTTGTCACAAACCTAGATATATATCTAACTTAGGCTCATTTCTTTTTGGCTACTAGCTACTAGATTATCGTTGGCACGGTTCCCAAGCTGCTAAACAGTGTGATTTTTGAAAAAAAAAATATTTAGAAGTTTCTACAAATCTAAAATAAATATATTTTTCAAATTTATAATAGCTAATACTTAATTAATTAATCATGATCTAATTGAGTGTCTTGTCAGGTAAGAAACCCGGTTAATTGGCTGAAACATTGAAATTAACACACCCTTAGGGCCCATTTGAAACAGATTATTAACTGCATTATTGTCTTGGATTATCCACTTGATTATAGGGATAAATTAAAATATTTCAAGAAATAAACTTAACAAATAGCTTAGAACATGTGGTCTAGGCACACAGTAGAAGAAATATTTTTGAGAAAACATATTTTTAGAGGCATGGAGCAAATAATCTGCAGAAATAATCCTGTGAATTAGTTGAAAAGAATGGGGCCTAGCTTAAAATGGATAACGAGTTACACTGGTCAAGCCCACAGAGTTAATACTTAATACAACTTACTTAGCTTCTGACTCGCTGCTCCTATCACTGGATGTAGCATTTGTGTTCGAACAGAAGAAAGTCTTCCCCTGAAAAGCATTTCCTTTGTCATTACCATTTAGAGAATATGTAAAAGTCAGAAAACCGCATGTTTCATGCTTTAGTTGTACAAAATTCCGGGTTTACAGGCGAGTGGCACTTAACCCCATGTTTTAAGCTGCAAGAGATCCAGTTAGGAAAGCTTAAACGGCATAAAAGACACACAAATTTGCGACCAGCCTAGTAGTGACTACACAACCTAACTAGTGTTTCTACAGTAAGGTAAGGGCACATGTAGACCAATTTTCAGAGCACCAAGGAAATGAATTCTCACCAACACAAACCCTAATAGATGTTATAGAGATCAAGAGCTGTAACAGAACTAACCAAATGGTTCACATGAGAGGTAACAGCTTCTGCTTCGTGCCTCCTTGAAGCGAGTGAATTTTGACCTGATAAGTAACAGTGCATAATAATTCAAGCAGTGAAAACAGAGAGAAGGCGACCAAATCAAACTTCCAAAAATGCAAATTCTCTTTTCAATCAAACACCTCGAAGAAATCTACAGAATAAGTAACTCATGCCCAGATCCCAAACTCCAATTAATTCCATGGCAAACACACAAGGCAGCAGCCCAGTCTCTTGTCTTCCCAAAGCTAGCGAGCAAGTGAGAGCTAGGCGGAAACCACCATAACTCTTTATCTCCAATACGTATACAGCCAAACCCTACGCCATCCTTTGCATCCCGATGATCTCGAGCTCAAATCGCTGTAGCATGCGCGGCAGATTTTCCGGAGATTCACGATGAGGGAGGGAGAGGAGAGAGACGGAGCAAGCGGAGCCCGAACCATGCCATTCTAGACCGTGCGGCGCACGAGGCGGCGACGCCAACCACACCGACAACAACAACGACGAGGACGACGACGACGACGACAAGCGGAACCGCCGCGGTGGGGAGGAAGGGGGGATCTCACCTGGCGCAGTGGCGCGGCGCAGGGCATGGAGCCCCAGGCGGGAGACCCTCGCCAGCATCCCGACACCCGCCCGGAGCAACCGGTGCAAGCGGCGGCGGCGACGGCGACGGCGGCGGCGGCGGCGGATTTGGTGGTGCCGTGTGGGGGAATCGCCGCGGCGCCGGCGAGGCGAAGTCGCGAGGCGGAGGAGACGAGGTGCGGCTTTTGCTCGGCTCTCGCCTCGAGGAGAAGGGAATCGTGAAGCTGGGCCGGATGAATGTACTTGGGCCGGAGGTACGGCTGCACAGGACATATATTGGGCCAGGCCGTGATTTCAGAAGGCTCGAGGGGGAGCAAGTTAAAGTGTTTAACGGGCCTAAATGGGCCAAATTCTGGCCCACCGACGGGAAATTGGCCGAGAGGTTAGGCCTGCCAAACAAGGCCGAGGAAAGGGGGCTGCTAGCTGGCGCGGGAGCCCCACTCCCCCTCCCTTTAGGGAGTGTTTGCAATCCCATGTTCCCAACCCCTCTTACTCGTTTTCTGCGCGCACGCTTTTCAAACTACTAAATGGTGCGTTTTTTTGTAAAAAGTTTCTATACGAAAGTTGCTTTAAAAAATCATATTGATCTATTTTTGAAAAAAAAAAGCAAATACTTAATTAATCACGCGCTAATGGACCGCTCTGTTGCGAGGAGTTTAGTTCCCAACTTCCCATCTCCGAACACAGCCTGAGTCTTCTCTTAACTAACTAAATTACTTAATATAATTAACACTAATAATAGTAATTAAGAAAGATTCTGAAGATTTTTTTACTAACAGATTGAAAATTTTTTAAGTTAGATTTGAAAACTTTCAATTTAAGTTTTAAATTTTAAAAACTTCAACTCAAATTTGAAAACTTTTAACTTGACATTTGAAAACTTTAAACTCAGATTTGAAAACTTTCGACTTGAGATTTGGAAACTTTCAACTCAGATTCGAAAACTTTCAACTCGAGAATCGAGATTCGAAAACTTTCAAGTCCAGATTTGAAAATTTTGGAAACTTTCAATTTGAGATTTGAAAACTTTCAACTCGAGATTCGAAAACTTTCAAATCAAGATTTGAAAAATTTGAAAATTTTCAAAATCGAGATTTGAAACTTTCAACTCGAGATTTGAAAACTTTCAAGTTCAGATTTGAAAATTTTCAACTCAAAAATTAAAAACTTTCAAACTCAAAACATGCTAAAGATTAAAAAATCAAAAAAAGTGGAAAAAAAGGAAAGAAAACGAAAAAAAGGAAAAAAAAAGTGGAGAGACACGCGCACGCCGGCGCAGCGGCGTTGGGCCTTCTGGACCCGAAACGCGCGCGCGTATTAGTTTTTCCGCGAGGAAAGGTCAGCAAAGATTCGGTTACTTTTTGGAGTTTTAACAAGGATTCATAACCCTCTAAAGAAAGTCATATGTTTACATACCTCCTGTGTGAGTGGCGACGAAAATGAACCAGCGAACCAAGCAACAGATTTTTTTTTTAGATAAAGAAGCAACAGATATACTGACAGACAAGCCTGCAATCGATCTGAAACTGAAATGCGACATTTGTGAGATTGATTAAAACAAAAAACCAAAAATTGGAGAATGGAGACGCGGGGAATCGAACCCCGTGCCTCTCGCATGCGAAGCGAGCGCTCTACCATATGAGCTACGTCCCCATCGTGTCATCTGTTCTTGTACAAATTATCAAGGCAACATCTGTAGCCACCCTCGAAGGCACGTTAACGCCCAGAAAAAAAAAAGAGCTCGGATGATGAGCGTACAACGTGCTTTGCCTCCATTATTCTGTTTGTACCGGCCGGCCGGTCACATGCGCGCAGGCTGCGTTGGCGGAACACCAGAAGCCCAAGGAACGAACGAAAGCTGCCGCGCGCGGGACCAGAGACGGTGCCGATCGAGTACGTGCCGCCGATCGAGGCACCGACCGGGACAGATACCACCACCGTGGGAAACAGGGGGGGGGGGGGGGGGGGGGGTTCTAGAGACGAGAGGGGCAGGTCACAGGTGGCCAGCCGCGCGGCGCCCGATCCCCAACACAACCGTCTGCACCGTACTCCCTCCATACCCACAAAACAAGTAGTTTAGAACAAGATTGTACTTACTAAGGAGTGATTAATCAGGGGCTATTCTTCCCTGTCTGCCCCTATTAAATAAGGGTGTGGGTGCATTCATTTGAGAAACAAACATAGCTCAAATGGCTAGTACAGTGAGGTTTGAAGGCTTAGTGCCTGGGTTCGATTCCTGGTGGGCTTGTTTTATTTTGCTGATTTTACATGGTGCTCGTTTGGGCGCTTGTCAACGGTGTCCAGCGCGTCGACGGAGCCCGGCGCCTCGACGTACTCCAGCGACTCGACGTACTCCATCATGGCGCTCGGCAGCCGGGCGGCGAGGAAGAGAGACACGCGTGTGCGAGCGGCGAGCTTGTGCGAGCGACGTGCGTGTGCCATTAATCACGTCCATTCAGTTTAAGGCGGCATTAATCACGTCGCCTCGTTTCTTGCCTCGCCGCTCGTCGCTCGGCTCTCGCATCAGGGGCAAACGCGTCCAAACTATATACTACTGAGAAACGACGACTTGTTTTGTGAAAATGGGCCAAGAGCCTAGAACGACTTGTTTTGTTGGTATGGGGGAGTACGTTCGTGCAACGCGCGTTAGCGTACACTGTACCCGGCGCTTTTGCTCGCCAAGCCAAACGCCACGAGCGCACGGGGACGCGCGCCGATCGAGTCCGTGTGTTGTTTTTGTGGGTGGGTGATCGGTGGCCAGTGGGTGGTGGTACACCAGTATCCAAAGTGTACCATGATCCAACGCAACGCAACGGCGTACGGTGCATCCGTACGTACATACATACATATATATATATATATATATATATATATATATATATATATATATATATATATATATATATATATATATATATATATATATATATATATATATATAACATTAAAAGACAGTAATACTGCTAAAATAATTCAACTAAGAGATGCCATAACTAATTTTGGAAATAAATATACAGTAAGATTGCCTTTCAAAGAAACACTATTCAAAAACACTATTCAGTTTACTGTTTAAATTACTGTTCAATACTGTTCACTTCGAGAGATATTTTAACTTTAGGATCTTTGCAGGGTGGCGAATCCTATTTAGACAGCCTCAGAAGCTTGTTTCAGAGCAAAGCTTCTAAGCGCGCTCTCACCCTCCATTCCACCATTCTTAGTAGTAGTGACTTTAGCCTACCTTGCATAGTATATTGAAGCAAGGAGTTGTGTTATAACGCTGTGTAAGGTAAGAACAACTTGCTTATACCTACCTTCGGGTTTCCCGAAAGGGAAAACCGTATGTAAGCTTATCTGTTTAATATGAAGTAATTTTCCTTAAGTATTCCTACACGTTTGTTCTAGACAAGTGTTTATGCTAAGGACCCTATAGGAGAAACCTCTTCGGTTTGTTCTCGTTTTTAGCCTGCATCTTGCATAGGCGTCTGGAGAATCGGTATCCGTAGAGAAGTGTTCCCTTCAGGTGGAACTGCCTAGGGAGACGATAAACTCTTAGCTAGAACAAGTGTGACTTGGAATATCTTTTTAAGTTGCTTCTAAAAAGACAGATAGGTGAGGCATACGGTGAGCACCGAGTAGGACTTTACATCATCTGAAACAAGCTTCTGAGGCTGTCTAAATAGGATTCGCCACCCTGCAAAGATCCTAAAGTTAAAATATCTCTCGAAGTGAACAGTATTGAACAGTAATTTAAACAGTAAACTGAATAGTGTTTTTGAATAGTAATCAGCCGAATAAACAGTAAACTGAATAGTATTCAGCCGAATAAATAGTGTTTTTGAACAGTGTTTTTTGTCCGAAGCACAAGTGTGGTATCACAAGTGTAAACACTATTTATCTGTTCACTATTTTCTTCATTATTTTCTGATGTTGGCATTATATCATTCATTAGATGGAAATATTCAGCAAGACTGTTTAATATTGATAGCATATAGCCTTTTTCTTCCCTCTTATTATTGTATTGATACCAGAAATTATCTAAAATGCATTCTTGGACTTCATCTAATATTATGTGGGTTTTTGGCTTAAACTTATAGGTATTCGGTGGGAATACTTTGAGCTTATTGTCTTCTCCAAACGTGAAGAACTCAACTCCATTATAATTCATGGACTTCTTCATTCCTGCAAAATAGGCAATCGCGAGAGTAGATCAGGTAAATGATTATCTTTTCCCTTAATATGTTCAAATATAACTTTATATCCGTTGCCAGTAATGATATCTTCAAATAAAATCCACCTCCTAGTGGAACTCTTCTTGCTATTAAGCTGATTATAATATCTACATATAGCTTCGCAATCTGTTCTAACCGTAAATTCTTTGAACCCTAAATATAACCTAAAGGCATTTATCGCATTGATTATTGCAAGTATTTCTCTATCTGTATTGCCTACGGTTTTTAATTTATAGCTTCCAGAAGCATACCTACAAACTTTTTCTTCTGACTTAGATGAATATTTAGTAGGCCTTTGTTTTAATACAGCACCCCAACCAAGCTGCGATGCATCAGTTTCAATAATAAAGTAACTCTCTTCTAATGGTAATTCTAGAGGTTTTAATTCTTTCACCCTCTCTTTTATTAATCTTACTAATTTGATGTCTTCAGAATTAAAATATCTCTGACCATTTTTTCTTAATTTAGCATATAACGGTCCTGCTAACTTTGCTAAATTATTGATGTGATTTCTAGCATAATTTACAAGCCCTAAGAATTGCTGTAATTTCTTTTTATCATTCATAGCATCAGGAAATTCTAAAATTTTCTTAGCAATATGTTCTTGCAAATGAATTTTGCCCTCTCCTATTTCATGTCCAAGGAAGTTAATTTTTTCTTTGCATATTTCCATTTTCTTTTTGGATAATATTAACCCATTTTGTTCCACCTTTCTAAAAAATATTTCAAGATGAGCAATATGTTCTTTGTAAGTCCTTGAGAAGACTAACAGGTCATCTATGTAGACTAATATGAATTCTTGGTTTTCGTTAAATATATTCTGCATTTTCCTTTGGAAAATTGCTGGTGCATTTTTTAATCCTAATGGCATAACAAGCCATTCATAATGTCCTTGAGGACATGTAAATGCAGTCCATTCTATAGATTCTTCTGCCATCTTTACTTGCCAAAATCCAGCTTTCAAGTTAAATTTTGAGAAA